AATGCTTTAATTAGCCTTGTGCTTTGATTCATGGACACAGTCATGAGGAACCAAATGGAAGCTGAATGTGCTCATTTCATGGAGTGATAAAATCCTATTTATGAGTTAGGGATGTGCTAAACATTAGTACCAGAGGGAGTACATTTATAATGTGACTCGTTCCTTCATCAAGACTCTCATGGCCTGTCAGATGAACAGAAAGACTTCTTTTATGAACAGGACACCATTTCAGACAGGTGATATAACTGCTCGGTGCTAAGAAAATTGGTAGGAAATGTCAGACCTGGTGAAGAGACAGAGATGTAGGTGACACAGGGTGTGTTCTTGCAGTCTTGCCTGACAGTGCCACACAGGACATATAGCAGTCTATGCAAAGAGTGAGAGCAGTCATTGTACAGGGCAAAGAAGACCTTGTGCTGTGCATTGATTCTTTTTCTCCCCATTCATACCTGCCGACTGATATGATCTGTCAAGGTGTCATCTTTGAATACTGTATTGGAGTTAAGATACAAATCAGTCATTTGATTCATTGAGTACAGGGCTAGACACGTGGTGATAAATCAGTAAATACTTAATTGATGTTTTAGAAAAACCCGACTTGAAAACAAAATGGATTTCAAAAATCAAAAAATATTTGGTTAAAAAATTCTGTATTTTGAAAATGTATTCGGAGAGCTTAATATTTAGAATTAAAGTATTTTCTGATAATTTATTTCTCTATAAATTATTAGATGGGGTAAAGAAAATGGCTTTATTCAGTGGGGGTCAGTGAGTTGTCCACATGAATGTCTTACTAAGCTTTACATATTTTCTTTGAGGGGCAGGTGTTGGTTTAAGGCATTCTAAATCAGTGTGTTGCTTGGAAACAAAAAAATCTGGAATGTATGTGTTTCTTTACAAGTCTGCCACATACACTGAGATGAGAAACTACAGACAGGATCTTGGGCAGGATAGACCAGAGGCTGAGCTTCCACTTGTGCTTCCACCCTGTGTCTGATTTATCTCTGTTACTTGCATCTTCTTTTGCAAAATTATCACAGTAAAACTTAACTCTTCTTACCTTAGGGGTTTATTGTGAGAACTGAATGTTTTCATTCAAATATGAATGAAGCATTTTATTTAGCTTGCAAAATGCTGTACCAATATAAGATGGCAGTGTGGGGCAGTGTCAGGTGTCAGTTTTTATTTTACTTTTTATTTTTAGTGGTGTAGCATATTTTAACTTCAATCAAATTAGCCTGGTTTAAATAGTTTAAAGAAAAAGATAAAAGCCTGGCCAATGTGGCTCAGTGGTTGAGTGTCCACCCCTGCACCAAGAAGTTGTCGGTTTGATTCCAGGTTATGGGCCCAATCCCAAGTGGGGGGCATGCAGAAGGTGGCCAGTTGCTGTTCTCTCTCATTGATGTTTCTATCTCTTTCTCCCTCTCCTTTCCTCTGTCTCTAAAATCAATAAAGAAAAGAGAAATTAGCTCTGGCCGGTTTGGTTCAGTGGTTAGATTGTCGGCCGGCAGAACAGAGAGTCCCGGGTTTGGTTCCCGCTAAGGGCATGTATCTCGGTTACAGTTTGTCCCCAGCCCTGGTTGGGGTTGTGTGAGTGGCAACCACTCAATGTGTCTCTCTCACATCGATGTTTCTCGCTCTCTTCCTCCCTCTCTCCTTCCTGCTCTATCTGAAAATAAATGCAAAAATGTCCTCCAGTAAGGATAAAAATATTAAAAACAAAAAAGAGAAATTAAAAAAAGAAAAAAAAATCTACATTTACTAGTAAATTACTGGGTCATCTTTTAAGTTAACTTTCTGGTTAAAATTTATCCTGCGGCTGAATAAAAATATTCAGAAAACAATGTTTTGTTTTTTTTGAGGGGAGAGGGTTTAAATGAGTTATCCTTCTTATGTCTTTCAAATATTTCTTATTACATTTTGGAACTGGAGATAGTTAATTTTTTAGGAGCATTATAAATATAATACCCATAAGTTTATTTATCCTTTATAGTTTAAAAAATTATTGTTTATAGTTTAGGAACTGCTTCTCATGATTGTCCCAATAGAAAGTTTGAGGAGACCCGGAATTAAAACCCAGGTCTTTTGTCTTGTTGCCTTATTGTCAAAATCTTTTTGAGTTTGTTTGTGATACAAAATAAGCAGGTTATTTAGTTTTGGACATTTATTTAGACTCAGTCCATAAAAAATTATATTAGTTCTGAATATATTCTTCCCTTTTGGAATGAAACATTATCCTAATTGTATGTAATATATATCTTAAAATATCCTACAAAAATGTGTTTGTATAGAACAATAATCTGTTTTCTTAACTCAAAAAAATTTAAATGCATTGGATTTGCCCTAACAAATTTGATCTTAATCAAATTCACCTTGAGTTTTATATTAGGGAATCAGAGAAGTGTTCTAGAGTGGCAGTTGTGACTAAATCCACATTTCAGGAGAAAAATAGCAGTTTGTTTTGTTGATTTGCACGTGCTGTGAATCCTCAGCCCTCCAGGGGGCCCTCCAGGGACTATGGGACACATAGCCCATCAGTGACAGCCAAGCTCTTGTGAAGTGACTTCTGAAGGGCACAGAGTTCGTACTGCCTGTTTAGCTCACTAACTCCAAGTATAGAGAATGGACTGTATGGTCCAAATATACTTAATCTACATTGAGAGGGAAAAGAGAAGGAGTTTGATCCCAGTGCCTAGCACAGAAAACAATAAAAATATAACCATTATTAATGTAACTATTAGAGGCTTTTCAGTTTATCTTCAAAACAAGGGGTATTCATTTTTATGTCTACACTTAGTCTCTCCTGCTTTTTTTTTTTAAGCCTTTGGTTACAAAATAGCATCTCAAAAGTGTTTCAGAGAAGGATATTTCATACCATCTGGTACCTGTGAAACTCTTGAATGAACTTGGACCCTGCTCCCTTGTCTTGGATCCCAAAGCATCACTCTCCTTGATTAAATAGTGGTTAAGCTTTAAATAGTGGTTAAGATTGTGTGGACCTGGAGTTCTGAATTTGAAGCCTGGTCATAGCTCTTAACTTTGAACAAGTAACTTAATTTCCTAGAGACTTTATATTATGAGAATAATATTTACTTTGTCAACATACTATAAAGTTTAATATAGCATCTGGTACCTGGTCAGCCCCAGCAGAGGTTCATTGCTTGTGATTTTTATTATTAAGACCAGGCATTGTATAATTTAAGTGAGAATAATTTTGTCTTGAGTTAGGGAGCAAACTGAACTTGTGGACTGGTATTATGGTGCTCCTTTGCTTGTTAGTGAGAAAAGGAAGGATGACCTGGAGTTGTATGGCTGAACAAGCAGTTCAGGAGGCTGACAGAGAGCAAATTGTATGGCTTTCTAAAAAGACAATCAGCATCGAAGGGAGCTACCAGGGGCAAGTAGGCACTTGATGGCAGGTGAGAGCTAAAGGGTGGATGAAAGGGCAGAACATTCTAGGCTGGGGATCCCCAGCAGCATGAGGTAGAGGAAAGGGGAGTGAGTATCTTGCTGTTTCTGGAACCCTTTATTGAGGTGAGGGAGTGGATATGGCACTGTGTGTGGGAGGAGGTATCATGGGGGCTACTAGGAAGGCACCTGTACCCCTTAAAAAAAGACAATCAACATCTATTACTTTTGACTATGTATTTTGACTGGAAACATTGAGTTTTTCTGATTGTAACTCAAATTCTTATATGTGACTGGATTGAGAAAATTATGGACATTGGCATTTTAGTTTCTCTTAAACACTGAAATCTACTCTCTTTGCCAGTGTAGATTCCATCTTTTTTTGAGTGAAGTAAAAAATAAGACCCTTTTTGCCTTTTCCAGAATCTAGCAACACTTCAAAATTGGAAAGGTTTGAGCAGTGAGGCATTCTTATTTGTGGGCCATGAGGACCTAAAGGGACCTGAATCCTCTGATTGCAAAGCCCTCAGAGCCAAATTCTTAGTGGGAAAGCATGAATGGTATCTCTGTACATTAAGGATTGGTGTTTCTTGGGCTATTTGAGTAACTTTGAATGTTACAGAAAGAAGTGAAACAAACAGAATCACTGTTGATTGATCCACAAGGTGATTGATCCTTCCAACCTATACTTCCCAAGTCTGAATGAACTCTTAGGAAGAGAGTGCTTCTTCCTCTGTGGGTGAGGGTCTGTGTGGCCTGATACTTGGAGTGAGAAGATGGAACAGAATGAAGAAAATGGGTTTGGGAGTCCACAAAGCTTGTCTCTGTTCCTAGCTTTGCAATCTATGATTGTGATACCTGAGCAAGGCAGTTAGTTCCCTGATCAGACTTCAGTGTTTTCACTTGTATAGTCAGGGGCTATAGATGATCTCTGGGTCAGAGTTGGAAAGTAACTTTGTGCAGCCTTTCTTAACAGCAGAGATAGTCATCCCTGAAGCATCTTTGGCAGGTCGTATTCCCTCTTTTTTTTGGCTATTTCATTCAGCCTGGGCCTGGCTTCCCTTGTGGAGATGGGGAACTCTTGGTTTTCAAGGCAGTTTTGAATAACTTAATATTTTAGGTAGTTCTTTATGTTTTGTTTTGTTTTTTATCCTCACTCGACATTTTTGCATTCATCTTTAGATAGAGTGAGAGGGAGAGAAGGGGAAAGAGAGAGAGAGAAACATCGATGTGAGAGAGACACATCTACTGGCTGCCACCCACACGACCCCAACTGGGGCCGGGGACAAACCGCAACTGAGGTACGTGCCTTTAGCGGGAACTGAACCCGGGTCTCTCTGGACCGCAGGCCAACACTCTAACCACTGAGCAAAACCGGCCAGGGCTAGGTAGTTCTTTATGTTGTGTAGATTCTTAGCCCTTCAGTAGGTCTAATTCTGTCTTTTCCATCTTTAATGTGACAGATCATCAGATGTTGAGCAAAAGTTATGTCCTGTGTCTCCCCCCCCCCCCAATTATGCTGTGTCTGCTAGCCTATTTTTATGTAGTTTCAGACCCTTCGTAGTCATTCTAGCTTTTCTGAAATGTTCCAGATTTTCATTGCCACTTTTCATAATGTGGTCCTCAGAAAAAAGCATATAGTACTTCAGATAGGATTTGACCATCATAAGGTAAGTTGATGTTTTTGTTGGTTTCTTTTATAAACAGCCATGTACTATGCTGACAAGTAAGTAGCTGTCATCCTTGGTTGTATTTTTCACATGAATTGCTTATAAGTAAGGCCTTATGTTATGGATGAACAGCTTATTTTTTGAGCTGCAGGGCAGTACTTTATATTTATATTTCTTTTTGTGAGTTATTTTATATCCATTTTTTGTTCTAGACTGCTGAATTTCTTTGAATCTCTGCCCTGGGTATTAGGAAGACCCACAGATTGTTGTTTCCTCATTCTCACTGATCCTGCCTCTGTATCCATTCTGAATGGTTGAAGAAAATGTTAACCAGGGCAGTCGAGTAGAAGTTCTTGTGGCAGATTGCTAGGGTCTTTCTACTCTCTTTACACTTGACTTGTGGGAATCTCTAGCAGTGGTTCCAGGCTTCTGTTGACAATGTTTTAGGTCATGGCTGAATGTAATTTGTCTTGGTTTAAAGCTTTGAATTCAAACAGTTAACTTTCTTAATAAATTGTCATTTTTTTGGTCTCAAAATCTGTATTTGTAAGTTTTTATTTTTGTATACATTTGGATCATCATTGCTAGCTTTTTTCACAATGATTGTGTTTTTAGTTAGCTTTTGCTTTAGAGATCTCCAACAGAATATTACCGAATAGCCCCCACATTTTCTTTTTCTTTATTTTGCATTCACAATCCTCCCATGGTTTCCTGACCTCTGGAGTGCTGGGTACTAAGTGCTAAGTAAACAAAGTGGAGCTGGTGGAACAACAGGAGGAGGACTTCTCTTACTTTAAGGTTTCCAGTCTTTTTCAACAGGTATACTACAAATACACACCAATGTTTGTTTGTTTGTTTGTTTTTATTAACTTTAGACAGTTCAAATACAGGGTAGGGCAAAAGTAGGTTTATAGTTGTTCATGTGGAAAACAATACAATAATAAACAGTAATACAAAAATATACTTTGTTTTGGGTACTCACAACTGTAAATATACTCCCCCCCATGTATTCTGTGGAGAAAGTTTAAAATGCAATTCACAAAGAGAATAAGTATGCTAAAGTCTTATTCCAGATATTTTGAGTGATGCTGTATGTTGAAAAAGTACTTTTAGAAAATAATGGATATCTAGATAAAGGTGAGATAGGTTAAAAATATGAATGAAATTTGCCTGGCAAATAGCTGGTAAAAATATTAGTATGGGTATGTAATGGGATGGTGCTACATAAAACAACAACAACAACAACAACAAAATAATTTTTCTCTGTTGATCTATCTGAAGAGAAATGTCAGCTTGACAGGGAGCTAGTTATAAGAGTAGGCCACATCTGCATATTTTTTATTTTGTAACTTATACTGTAATAAGTATATATGACCTTTTCTTAGTTCGACAAAATAAGCTTTAGCATAGATGTTTCCAAAGCAATATCACTGCCCAGATGTCCCATTAATCATTGATGAATCAGCTAGACCAACCCCCTCTGTCCCGGCTGCCAATTCTGTCCTCTTCCTTCCCCCCTTCTCAACTAAGTGCACATCTCTATGCTTAAGTAAGTACTCACAATGGTACCCATCTCAACTCTATGGATAAAAGGAGACATTGGAAAAAAATCTGAGAAGTCTTTTAAAGATGGGACAAAATTCAAGGAATTATCTCCAACAGTTGTCAATTTTAAAATATCTCTTATGGCACATGTACATCTGAGTTTTGATAGCAGTTAGTAGATATTTCTGTGTTGGAGATGTTCTTTAGTGTAAAGTATTAAGCAGTAATAGAACACTTTGTAGAATTAAAGGTTCTTATTTGTGAGGACTAGAAAAGATGACTAACAATTCTGAGTACTTTTGGGGCAATGGAGGATTCACTGGTGAGAATGATTTTGAAGATGTACCTGTAAATGTTTGAAATTTTAATATAATTATTGTAACAGAACTTTTAAACCTACAATGGACTTTTATCATTATATCCCTCATTATCACTGGAATTTTGCTTTAGTTAGATTTGGCTCCCAATCTATATAAAGCCTTAATCACCTGAAGTAGAAACTTAAACTTTGGCATTATGGATTCCAGGAGCAGTATAGAGATGAAATCTCCAATGATTTAATTTTTTTAATATAGGAAATACTATGTCAGACGTTTTCCATATGAAGATGTTTTTAATGATTAACTTTCTGCAGAGAACATGATACTGTATGGTTTCTAGATCACAGTGGTCTAGGAATACATGTGGAGATTGGAACTCTAATGGGATTAAATTTTATTGAGTACATCTCTAAGGTTTTGGGTCTTAAAGGTTAAGTATCCAATTGTACCCAAGTTAGGTAATTCAAAGTTATTTTTCTCACAATAACTGTTACTTTGTCCCCTTGGGCAGATTTAGAATTTGCGTTGTTGGGCATATATCTTATTTTTACATACATACTTGAATCTTATATCTAAATGAATGAGAGAAATTAACTATTTTTATATATACTTTAATTGGGCAGCATTCATTAATAATGATTTGAACATATACTATGTGATAGATAGGCCCTGGGGATATGGAAATGGGTTATCTGGGTTATCATGGGAAACTCTGTGATCCCATGATAAAATTAAAGGAATAATTGGACATTGCACTAGGAATAATGTCCTGTTTACAGATGAGTTCATTTTCAATTTAACCATATGATTTAGAAAAACTGAAGATTTCAAACTTAATGTCTTTGGTATCTTTCTTGAGGCAACTCTTTCTAGTCCTTAAAGAGTGTCTTAAAACCAGCAGCAAGACATATTTAAAAACTTCCAATGGAGGCAGTAATTTAGAATTGAGTGACTATTCACTGGGGTACAGTTTTCATATTACCAAAAATGTAGTTTTTTAGGTTCAGACCTCCTTTTAGGCTGTTAAAACTATGCTATTGTTTAGAAAAATAAAATACTAAAAAATGGCATGGGGTTTCTAAGCCATGTGACATGTGGTCAGTCCTGTTCCTGTTGTTATAGAGCAGAGAGCCACTGTAAACAGCAGGGCCATTCTAATCCATATGCAACTGGCAGCTTCAGTTTTTCACAGACTAACAAGTAATCCCACTGTGGGCCTCATAGCTCCTTTAGTTCCTGCATGGGTATGTGGTCACATGGAGGCCAGGTAAGGAAGGACCAGGCAAAAAGAACACTTCGTCTCCAGACTTAGAATATATACTTGGACAAGAAAAGAGAATCTTTTGAATAAAATCAGAAGGGAAAACGCATGCAAATAAGATTCTGAAATTGTACAAAAATAATGTGTACTCAGACTCTTGGCTGGAAGTTGAACACTTTTTTTGGCCATTGTAAGTTTTTGTTATAAAAGGAATCAGGTTTTATTTATTTTTTCTTTTATTGATTTTAGAGAGAGAGGAAGGGAGAGGGATCGAGAGATAGAAACATTGATTGGCTGCCTTCTGCATGCCCCCCACTGGGAATCAGGCCCATAACCTGGGCATGTGTCCAGATCGGGAATTGAACTGGTGACCTCTTGGTGCAGGGGTCGACGCTCAACCACTGAGCCACACCAGCTGGATAGGAAGCAGTTTTTTTTTTTTTAATTCTCACCTGAGGATATTTTTGCATTTATCTTCAGATAGAGCGGGAGTGAGAGAGGGAGGAAGAGAGAGAGAGAAACAGACACATCGACTGGTTGCCACCCACACGGCCCTGGTTGAGGACGAACTGCAACCGAACTATGTGCCCTTAGCAGGAACCGAACTGGGGTCGCTCTGGTCTGCAGGTCAACGCTCCAACTGCTGAGCCAAACTGGCCAGGGCCAGGAAGCAGGTTTTAATGCTCAGTTCTCAGTTTCCAATTTTGTGAGCTTACTGGTATTTAAATATTATATATATTTAATCCTTTCCCAAGGACATGTTTTTTACTAATTTTTAAAGAAAGAAGGGAAGGGAGAGAGAAACATTGATCAGTTGCCTTCTATACTTGCCTGACTGGGGATCAAAACAGAGAGCTAGGTATGTGCCCCGAATGGGAATTGAACTCGAAACCTTTTGGTGTATGAGACAAAACTCCAACCAACCAAGCCACCTGGCCAGGGCTTAAGTAATATTCTTGACAGAACAATTAAATTATGTGGAAATTCAGCCCCTGAAGTGTATTTTCCAGTGTCTTCCTGGATAGTATTAGTTGTAGTCTTGTCTGCTAAGAGATGAATTAGGTGACCTCATAAACTCTTTTTAATAACCATCCTGGGAGGTTTAAAAAGGCATTTTTTTTATACCACAGGAAAACCTCCCCTCCTCCACAGTTTTCTCATTTATAAGTTGAATTTTTAAAATGATTGCTTTTGCTTTTGTTCCCTACGATCAAAAAATTTTTTTGTTTTGTTTTGTTTACTGCCCAGTCTTCAGGCAGAGAATGGCATAAATTAAAGCAGTTGGTAAACCTCAAAGAGCTTATTACCTCACCGTCCTGAAACTCATATTGTCTCTACCTCCTCTAAGCCATGGCTATCACTCGGCAAAGGGAATTCCTATCCCTGTTTGCTCTCTTTGGTTCAAATTTGTTGTTGGGGAGCAGACCTTAAGGTAGACAAGGGCAGATGGATTTTAAAGGGGAGACTCCTAATAGCCACTATTCCTGCAACTCTTGCTGCTGCTGTTCTTTTCTCCCTGAAGCTGCCTCTTCTTTTTTGGTGGGAGACATCGGAAAGAGAATTAAATCCAGGAGAGGTGAGAGTTTCTCACTACTTCCTCTAGACCCCTTGCTCCCTTCATAGCCCTGCCCCATCTTCTCATTTTCCAAACTACTTGTTTACAAATCATACAATCACCTAGGGAGTTTTTTATTTGTGTTTTTAAAAGAACCTCTTAGGAGTTTAAGGGTATGTCTCAGAGATCCTTTCTTAAAAAAACTTTTTAAATTGATTTTTAGAGAGAGATATGTGAGAGAAACATTGACCAGCTACCTCAAGTATGTGCCCCTACTGAGGATCGAGCCCACCACCTTGGTGTATGGGAGGATGGTGTAACCAGCCAAGCCACACTGGCCAAGGGGCTAGGGAGTTTTTTTTTAACAAAATAGATTCCTAGGCCTCACCATCAACTATATACTTCAGGAAATCTGGGGCTTGAGTCTGAGAATCTGTTTCTTGAGTTATGCAGGTACTTCTGATGCCCAATTAGATTTGAGAACTGTTGGGAACCTGTTTTCATCCTAGGCTTAGGAGCCCTGAGTCTTAAGTAATAGGAGTCAGTACCAGTGGGACTTACATGACAAATAGGGCCACAAGTACCAGGAGTCCATAAATTGACAGCCAGAGCTTTGAGGAATGAGAGAGCAATTGGGTTCATCTGGTGGTGGGAGTTGGTTTCTATAGTACCATATTTAAAGTATATTAACCTTGCCTGCTTTTATATTACATTTGAGTTTTACATTGATGGAATGATAACCCCCATCCAAAAAAGACTATGGCTAATAAAAAGTGTATACGTTGTTCACATAAATGGGATATCTAATTATATTTTTTAACTAAATAGATCTATATAGTTTTTCTACATAACAGTTCATGTCTTTCCATTAATAGAGAGTAGTGTTTCCCAAATTACTTTCATCATAATAAAGAATTTTAAACATATATTTTGATGGCATTTTTCTTTAACTTTCTTCATCACCATTATCATCAGTAGAGAGGCTAATGGAGTTTATGAAGGGCTGACTCCTCAGAGGGATAAGAAGTTGTGGAGGTGGTGGCATTTGAGCTGAGCCTTTAAAAGGAGATGTGAGTTTAGAGATTGGTATTCTCTGTTGTTGAATTGGTATTCCATATATAGAAAAATGTGATCAAAGTCAACAGGCATGTTTGAGAAACAGGAGGCCCTGCACCCATGGGGCCAAA